TTATCGTTCACAATAAACATTATTATCGTTCACAATAAACATTATTATCGTTCACAATAAACATTATTATCGTTCACAATAAACATTATTATCGTTCACAATAAACATTATTATCGTTCACAATAAACATTATTATCGTTCACAATAAACATTATTATCGTTCACAATAAACATTATTATCGTTCACAATAAACATTATTATCGTTCACAATAAACATTATTATCGTTCACAATAAACATTATTATCGTTCACAATAAACATTATTATCGTTCACAATAAACATTATTATCGTTCACAATAAACATTATTATCGTTCACAATAAACATTATTATCGTTCACAATAAACATTATTATCGTTCACAATAAACATTATTATCGTTCACAATAAACATTATTATCGTTCACAATAAACATTATTATCGTTCACAATAAACATTATTATCGTTCACAATAAACATTATTATCTCATATAAATGTCGCACAAAATATGAATGTCACATTGTGTTATATAGAAATTATTGCAAAAATCTTTAAAAGTAAGCTGTTTGTTACAGAGATAAAAAGAATTTAAAATTTTGTGAGATTATCTAAAAGCGCAAGCGGAAATGTCCCATCACAGATTGCCATTCTTTCCATCTTTCAATTACTTTTTGTCTTTTTCCTTTTAGCACCTACATTTTACGCTTGCACACTCACTTTCGCCCGTCCTCCTCTTTCTCTCTCTCTTCGTTACCGTTCTCTTTATGAGATAATTGCTCTCTTTGTCTCCCTCAGTTACTTCTACATCCCTTCGGTACCGTTTGTTTCACTTGCTGATGGCTAATGTACATCGAGTGAGAGTATTCCTGTCTACAGTTTCTCTTGTTGTCTGTCCCTACTTTCATCATTGTAACAAGAATAGCTATCGAATTAGACTGACTTCTCTAACATTCTCCTCTAACAGATGAAAACTCAAATTACTTTCTTTGCTTAATCACTATGGTGTTTCCATGCAAATGAATTTAGTTCAATGCAAGTGCAAGTGCAAGTGCTTAGTCAGATGGCACAAAACTGCAGTGTCACATGTCCTCGAGATACGATGGATAAGAGATGTGACATTGTTGTTGGTTGACACTGCAGTGATCCGATGGAAGCAGTGGTCGACTCGGGAATAGACCTGGATTAGTTGGTCTGATCGTGACGATAACTCTTTTTTCTCGTAAAAGGAAAAATCTTCAAATCAAAAACATTCTCAGAATTAATGCTTCATCAAGGAGTGATAATGATATTCTGAATCAAACTGAAATAATACAAAGTCATTTGAAAATAAAACCTTGAAATCAAAATTCTTTAGGGCTGAGCATTTGACATATATATAACTATAACTAGTTGAGGTGCAAACTAGAGTCATGGGTAGTTGGTTGTATGAGAAAGTTGGTTGGGACTTTTACAGGTTGTCATCCGATGGAGAACGGTCTGTTGTAGAGGAGTATTGAGCCGAGACTGCAGGTTATGTGGTGGAGTTGGCTTGCAGCAGGACACTTTACAAGTGATGAGAGTTGCAGTAATGCATGCAAGATTACTCGCAGACAAAGTTATATAATTATTTAAGAGACAATGTTAAATGAAATAATCAATGCTCTTAGCAATAACCTTTATTCCACAGATCCCCGTCTTACAGATTTATTAAAAAATGTTTCGATATGTTATAAAATCACTTTGATTAATTAGTTAGACTGTCGTAAATTTTGTAATTCATTGCATTGATTACAGAACAGATATTCAGCATTTCTTCTACATTTTCACTAAATGGTACTTACCTTAGCTTCCCAACCAATTTCAGGTTTTTTCTTGCAAATGAATTCCTGGCAACGAAAGTATTCTGTTCAGTATGATTCTCTCTCTGTAATTATTTTTATCAATCCCATTTCATACTATTCTTCTCAGTACTTTTCCAGCAAAAGCGAAAAAGCACTGAGAGACTTTTGAGCTTTAGTTTAGGACTTCTTCCACTGCATTGTATAATTCTATGAAAATTAACGTGATCTTTTAATTTGTGCATAAATATTTCAATTTGATTATGATAATGACAGTATGCCAGGTTATCAATTGGCTATTTTAAGGTGCACATTGAAGTAGACTACTGCAGACTCTCAGAAAGAAGTATTTATTTACATTTACAAATATTTTTGGAGATTCTCTGAGATTTGGAATTTACTTTCTAATCAAATAGTCATTTAAATATATGCACTATAGTTAGTGAAGAAAAATGAACTTGCGAAAATGAAAGACAGTTTATAATTTATTGACATTCATAAAATATATTCTAAATTAAGTTAGGTAGACAGACCTTCACAAAGCATGTATTTCTAAACTTATTGTTTTTGTTCTCAGTTATCTTTAATTTTAGCAACTATTTAGTCCTATCTTAAAAGCTTTCAGAAGATGGGTGAAAGTTTGATCAGAGAGTTGATTTTAGTTCTTTTACGTAAACAGACAATGCTTCAACCACTGTACGTGTTAATTGTTTTTTTTTTTTTGATTAGAAATAAGTTAGGGACGGAATTTCAATTTCATTCTGTTGTCAGAGTGTCAGGAAGTGAAGTGGAATGCATAAATTTGATGTTTAAGTGTTCAATTGTAACATTTTTTTTTTTTAATTTTAACAGAAAGTAATACACTGAAACAATCAATTCCATTTGTTTACTGCAGCAACAACAATAAACAAAGTCTAGTTTTGTTTACAATTCTGTCATTGTTGTAAACAAACTTGTTTTCACAAAGTAGCATAATGTATGGACTGGAAAACCGACAGGTTAATATAGTTTTAATGAAGACGTTGACATATTTGTAACAATCTAGTGATACTTGCACCTGAAAAGATTGTGTCTCTGTGAAAACATAATCATACTAAGATATTAAGCAAATTTTATTTCGAATAAAAATGAAGTCGAAATGATAATTCATTAAGAAATAAGCGAGTTTAGCTGCTGAATCACTGTTCGAAGGATAATTTACTGAGCTTTACAAAAATCTGAAAGTTTATTATTTTATGTTTTTTGGATCGTTCACTTTTCAATTTTGTTTTGATTACACGTCTAATCAACTTATTGGCTATTTTCCAGTATTGAACTGTCATCTGTCTCTTTCCTTCATCTACTTATTTCAGTATTAAACTTCAAATACTGTTTAGCATCAGAAAGGTGATGTGTTTTTGTTGAAACCAAAAATGATATTTTCCCTTCATCTGAGCTCGACGTATTTCAAAGTGGAATGAAGTTGAAATGATCAAATGTGAAGAAATAATTATGGTTTAATTTTCATTTCGTTTAAGGATTTTCTAAGCCTACAAAATTCATTGCTGACCTTGGATGGTCTCTTTCACTTCAGAAAAAGATTTTTCACTCATTCCAAAAATAAATCCTTTTTTTTTAAACTTGTAATAAAAAAACAAATGACTATTTTAACATCTATTTCTGTGTCTCTATTTCTAATTTCATCATTTCTATAAATCTTCATTAGACACAATTTAGAAGAGAAATGACGTAAAATCAGAACACGAATCTTAGAAGAATCGCTGTAGTTAGTGACAAAGAAAACTATGTTACCTTTGCCTAAAATGCTTCCTTCCCTTCATATGCTTCTTCATGTGACATTTAAATTTAAAAACTTCATATGACATTTAAAAGGGACATTTAAATTTACCCAGAATTCAAGCAGCAACAACGTATACTCTGCATGGAATATGTCACTAATCAATATTCGATATTGAATTCAGCCCAGTTATTTTCTTCGAAATAGCTAATCATAAATGTTATCAATCCGTTTGATTAAAGCAAAATGAATAAAGTGAAAGGCTGAGACATATTTTTGTCGATGTTTAAATTCTGCATAGTAATGATCAAAAAGCTTGAGAGAGCAAAAAATTCGAGAAAGAAGAATCAGTGACCAAATGCTATAAAACGAGATGAGATGAGCAGATATGTTGATTTGTAAGACGATCTTATTCGATTTTGTCCTTTGAATTCAAACTTTTAGGTAATATATTCAAGTAAACAAAAATAAGGTTTGTTGTTTGTTATTTTAACTTCTGCCAAAGAGGATAGAAAGTCGTCAAAGCCAAACAAAGATCGCTAAAATAATAGTCTTACTCGTAAGTCAGGTCTTGAGAAAGCCTTCATTTCTTGGTTCTATCAAAAATTCGAAATCTCAAAGCAGCTGGTAATAAAGTTAGAAGTAAGCAATGCTTATAATCTATAGAAAATGAGCTGTTTTATTGGAAAATGCTAATTAAAATATTCATGTTAGGATGGATAGATGCACCTGCAACTGCTTTAGTTTACTTCAATGGCAATTCTTAACACATTCACTTACTTCTTGCGTCATTTGCGTTGCACTGCTATCACAACATTTGCGTCACCTGTTGTGTCCCTAAAACTTTCAATTAAAGTCAATTACGTTACAATTTTGATGACTTATGAAACGTAAGTGACAAGCAATCGCTTACATTTGGTAAGTTCATTTTTGCTCTTCCTTCGTTACCACTTCTAATTTACGTCAGCGATCAGCTCCATTTCCAATAGATCAGGTCAAGCCTTCACGTCGTTTATTAGTGAAAGTGTTCGTCACTCTTACGTCCTTGACTTCTTTACGTCCTCTACGCGTCTTTTCCCATCTAAAGTCTAAAGTTAAGCGCTACATACAGCAACAAATCTGGCTTTCAATTTAGGTCCTCACTGCACATATGCAGACGTACATATATTTAGCGGACCAAGATAAACACATGTCATTCTGCGTTACACGTGTACACTTACGTGCTTGTGTATGTTTGTATGTATGTATGTATGTGTGTGTGTGTGTGTGTGTAATGTGATGGAATGGAATGGAAATGACTCGAAATATCCTCTAATCTTTCCCCTCGGACTTCTCTCACCTCGGTTCTCGGTGATGAAAAGTATAGATATAAGATTAATCCGTGATGCTCGTTACGTATGACACGTCTAGGGCTGCTGCTAGTGACAGTTAAACATGTGGACAGGACGTTCTGATTGCTTTGTTGTTATTTGAGAGTACGGTAAACGATTCTGCAAGTGTGGCGTGTAGAGCAGTAAGTTAAGCTAAAAAGATAGCATAGATGTTGTTCTGATTGACTGTTCTGATAGAGCAGGCAGGCTGCAGAGTAATGTTAATGTTATGGAGGACTTATCAAAGATATATAGAACGATAAAGAACTTGGATGGCACTGCTCCTCATAATTTATTTTGGTTCTCGATGCGAATACCGCTCAAAATGTTTGTAGCTAATTAGAGGCATTTAGTAAAATGGTTAGTTAGTTAGTTACAGGATTAATTATTATAACAAAGCTAGATGGTACTGCTAAGGGGGGAGTGGTGATTGGACTTGTAGAAAGTTATAAAGTTACATGCTCTAGAAAGGTGAGGACTTGAGGGAGTTCACTAGCAAAGAATTTCCTAAAGTGCTATTGACTGTGATTAAAGATCCCCTTTATTCTTTTATGTGGCCAAGCTTAATTATTTCGATATGATGAGAGGAGTAATTGCCATTTTGAGGCATAATTGCTTTTTCAAAATTTTTTTGCTTCTTTATCCTCAGATTAGCATATGAGATATGTTCAATCTTACCTAAAAGTGCAATTTCACGTGCTGTTATTGAAGTTGACAGCGGTAAACTTACTATGCTTGAAATAAGAGAGAGACATGAACCGATGGTTCTTGTATTTTCAACCCTCATCCAATGTTCAGATACATTTCTTTTTTATGCAGAGACTTTTGCAACGAGCATTTAGCACTGCAATGATAATAGCCAATCGGTTGATATTTCATCCAATTACTACTCTTCTTGGATTTTCCACGTTTATTCCGTTGTTAACACTTGAACTTCCATCAAAACCGGTCTGGAATCCTCAATTCCTACAAGTGTCAACAAATTCTCTATCGTCAGCATTACCTGTTACCAAATAATGATGATGGATTTCAATAGGTAATAATCCAGCTTCAGACATTTCAAAATACCACTTCATTTGTAAAACCAAATCTATTTTTATAACATGCAAAATACGGCAATGATTGCTGTTTTCATCATCAAAATACAGTAAGCATTACGTCCACCATACCTTCTAAAGTTTTTGGTCCTGCTATTTATCTGTCCTTAGTTATATGGCCAACTATTAAAAAATAAATACCGTGTTGTTTTACAAGAACGGTTAAATCATGAACACATGTTTTTTTAAAGTGCCTGTGCTGATGTAATTTTACTATCATACATCGTAATAGTTAAAATTAATAGTCAAATTCATTTTTTTTTTTTGATAGAAATATGTATTATTCCATTGATTTTTCTCTTGATTTAGGTTAATAAACATTGTGTTATATGATTTATTTATCGTTCAACCATTTATAATTGATATTTAATTGTTTTTATGATTATATTGGGGTGAAAAACTTTCCAAAAACTAGAAGAACATGTCGATTTTAAAGCAAAATGTATAAAAAATCCATATTTCTTCCATAATTCAATGAAATTTCGACTTTACTACTATTCAAGGACCATAAAATTTATCAAATTCATTATGCAAATAATCGAACACTAAATCTGTAACATTAAATGACATTAAATTTGTAAAAAAAATTAATTTTAATGTCAAAAAAAATTAAAATCATCACTAATGCAGATTTTTTTTAATTTCATCATTAAAAAACTGCTTCAAAGTGAATTTTATAAACTTTTTTCTTTGTATAAATTGTCAAATATCCCCGATGGAATGTGTGTAGATCAGGGAGAATGTAAATTAAATAACCAATTAAGTTTAAAATATATTTATTTTTAAATGATTACATTTTTTCTAACATTTTTGGCATTTAATTAAAACAGAATCTAACAGATTTAAAAATTTTTCAGTATTAAATTCACAAAAACTCTTAGAAACTGTTAAAATTTCCTAGAGATCCATATCGAAATTTGTGACTAAAATTAATTTAGCGTCAAAAATTAATTGAAATCATCACAATTTACAAATATTATTAATTTTTATATTGTAAGATTGCTCCAAAATGAATTTATTAAACTTTTTTTTTTTGCATAAGTTGTCAAATATGCACGACAGAATGTGAGCAAAGCAAGTACAATGCAAATAAAATAAAATTCAACAGCTTTTTCCTATTGAACTTAGTAGTTAATTAATAATCAACAATTATAAAAAATAAGCTAAAAATCTATCTTAACTTTCGCTGCTTAAAACACCTCATATTCTCCAGTTTTGTTATATATTATTAGGAGAATACTTTCCTCTCACTTACGTATTTTTTATTACCTTTTTGTATGACAAATCGTTTGCTGTGAATTCGAATTTTACTGTCAGTTTGTTGTTTATGTATTTCTGTGATATTCATGGAATAATAAATGGAGAAAAAAAATAAATCATTAATCGGTCACTGCATTCTGATGTCTCGAAAACGTCTGATTGCTATACGCCTTTTTCTCATGTTTGCGAAGAATGCCCAAATTGTGTCTCATTTTCTAGAATGAAAATTTTTAGTTGTTTTATAGCGCTGAAAAAATGATTTGGCTTTGTGGGCGGAATGATATATTTTTCTGCATGTTTTTCGTTTAGAAAAACAAAATAATTCGACTAAAAGTGTTTTTTTTATTTCTTTCTTCGTTGATATTTTCAGTGTTTGTTAATGTATCTTAAAGCTTTATTGTCACCATCGTCAACATATTTTTAAGCAATTGGTTCCTAGGTCATAGACAGCTGCTACGCATTAAGTGCACGATATGAAAAGAAATAAATATGCAGTATTTAATGAATGCATTAAATAAACTTTGTATTGTCACTCAGCGGTTACAAATGTTTCGCAACACATTTCACATGCATGCTATTTCAGGTTGACATATGCTTTTAAAATTGTGCTAAATTTGCAAACTGACGAGATTTTGTTTGGCAGTTCTTCTTGTGAGATTTCAGTGCATTCCTGGTGGTGAAGAATCTGCCACAACCCTCACATTGAGGATGAGGCTCATGCGTTTGCTTGTGATTGAAAAATGTTGAATCATAGTCAAATGTCCTCCCACAACCGGGCACTCTGCATTCATAGATGAAGGGCTGACCATGTGTTTTCCTATGTGTTATATATTCTTTGTAACTTTTCGCGATCACAGCACACCCGGGGTAGAGGCATTCGTAGCTTCGTTTATCTAAAAAATTCTTATGATATTTGTTTTTGCAGTTGGTATTTTATTATGGGTTTGGCAGCTAAAATATTACTTCAATGAAATAATCTTACTACATTCCATTTCAAATAATTTAGATCACAAGAAGCTGTTTAATTATCTTCGCGTATAGTTACACATTGTCACTTAGCATTTTCATAACACATTTCACGTGCATTCTATTTCAGACTGATATATCTGTTTGAAATGTGCCAAATTTGCAAACTAACGAGATATCGCTTGGCAGCTCTCCTTATGTCTAGTTAGTGTATTTCTACTAGTGAAGAATCTGCCACAGCCCTCGCATTGAGGATTAGGTTCATGCGTTTCCTTGTGACTGCGAAATGATGTTCTATGGTTGAATGTCCTCCCACAACCGGGCACTCTGCATTCATAGATGAGAGGTTGACCGTGTGTTTTCTTATGTGTTACATATTCGTTGTAATTCATCGCGATCACAGCACACCCGGGGTAGAGGCATTCATAGCTTCGTTTATCTAAAAAACTATTAAGATATTTGTTCTAATTAAGTGATCTAATAAACCATAGAAATATTACTTCAATGAAATACATTCCATTTTAAGTAATTTAGATCACAAGAAATTGCTTAATTATTTTCCAGTATATATAAATATCGGCCTTGCATTGGATATAAGTTTTGGTAAGTAGGGTAGCTAAATTTCTTTTTCTTTCTTTTTCTCCTTAGGGTTATTGAAAGTAACAAACTCCTTTATTTAAAGCCGAAGTTTTGCTACCCTCCATTTTAATAATTTAAAATTAGTGATTATAAACATTTTTATATTATAAACATTTAAAGAATTTTTATTTCTTGGAGGGGTGGATAGAACTGAGATGAATGTTAACCTGTATCATTATCAAGGCAAGTGAATTACGACTGACCTTGGTATCGGTTTTGCAGGTGAAACTATGCCAGTTATTAATTGCTGATGTAAGTTTTATTGCTCAAGAGAAGAAAGATTTGCTTGGAATAATAATTACGCATGCACATGAAGACCACTGCGATGCAGTGCCTTACTTATAAAAAGAGTTACAATGTCTGATATAAACAACAAATCTCACGGTTAACTTTCTCAAGGAATTTCTGCTAGAAGGTATGCTATCTGTAAAAGAGGTGGATATAAATGGCAGTATAAATTTAAGTCTTTTCAACAGCTTTGCAACAAAATGTAATTGCGAATTTTCCGTTGTATCAAGTATCTCGGTGCAGCAGTCACAGATGTTCCATAATACATTTCATAGGCACTCCATTTCAGACTCACATATGCTTAAAATTTTGCTGAATTTGCAAACTAACGAGGTTTTCTTTTGCAACTCATCGTATGATATTGCAGTCTCTTCCTGGTGGTGAAGAATTTGCCGCAGCACTCGCATTGAGGATTAGGTTCATGCGTTTCCTTGTGACTGCGAAATGATGATTCATGGTTGAATGTCCTCCCACAACCGGGCACTCTGCATTCATAGATGAGAGGTTGACCATGTGTTTTCCTATGTGTTATATATTCGTTGTAATTTGTCGCGATCACAGTACACCCGGGATAATAACAAATATACTTTCTGTTATCTGAAAAATACATGTCAAAACATGTATTTTTGCAGTCAGTAAATCTATTATACTATTTTGTAGTTAAGTAATGTGAAAAATCACAAAAATGTCAGTGCACAAAACAATATCATATTGAATATTTTAAGTAATTTAGGTAACAAGTAGTTATTTACTTATCTCTATTTACATGTTTTAAGCAGTAATCATACATTTAATGTCGCATTCTGAACGACGAAATAAGTTTTGGGTTTTGATTCGTTATTACTTCTATCTTCAATTTCATTCTGTTAATGAAATTGAAGAACTGTAAGAGATGGAACGAAAAGTTGTTGCGTAATTAATTATTACCTGTTTTTGATCCTTCATTGGTACTCCCCCTGTAGTCGGCGACATTCAAGCTATCCGAGAAGTGCTTATTGTCCATGTTGATCAGTTCAGCATTTCCATGTTGACCGGATGTACCGTCTGAGGAAAGAGTAAGTTGGTGAAAATAGATCGGAACGACATTTTGTTGTGAACCAGGTAAGTGCATATACGTGATAATGTCATCGGTGTCGACATTAAGTGGCGAAGAAGTCCCACTTTGAGCATCTAAATAACTTAGATCACAAGAAGTTGTTCACTTATCTTTTCACATATTTGAAGCAAAAGTCTCACCTCTAATGGAAGGATATCGTGCTTTATCATCATTCGTTTTTAATTCTCCATTGGCATCTCTCCATAATGAATCCAAATTTGAGGCAAGTGATGACTCCAAATTAGTGTGGACAATGAAATCATCATAACTAGGTGAGATGAAACCAGGATGAGGAGTAATTGTGAACAGATCAGTCTCAGAATTCGATTCTTTACTGCTTATATCCTCAATTTCACTCACTTGAGCGAAATCAATGAACTGCGAAGGATCGAACAGAAATTCTGAGCTAAATAATGGTTCAAAGTTGTTGTAATCAAAGCTATCTGAGACACCAGAATAAGTATTATTTGTAATAATTTCATCAGCAGCGCCGAAATTAGGTGGATAGAAAGTTTCATTTTTATCAGAAGCGATGCAAAGTAGAAGATTGAACCAGATAATTGGTGTTATAGATACAGTGATGAACATGATGGAACACAATTTTGTGAAATGACAGAAATATTCAAATGAAAGCTTTTTATTTCAATTAAAGATCAAAGGTTCAAACAGTTTTTAATCTGCCTATTGTTTATCGTTTTTTTCTTTTACATTTTCGTTTTTCTCTTGCCCAACTGCTAGTTTATGAATGCTCTTTTGAATCCGGAAGGAAGTGTTACAATAGCGCGTACGTAAATCTGATACTTAGGAAGAGTATTGTTCCATCATTTCAGTAATACGACCTGAAGAATGAGATTCTAATCATTTTCATGCATTTAATTGGGTTCATTTAATAAAGTCGCATCTTCACATCTATTGATAGTATCACCGATGGGACTTCATCGGATGGAAGCATCACCTGAAATTTGCTAATTACTGCTTTTTGACATGCATCCACTGCTATTATCAGAAAGAATTTCAACATAAGCGATGTTTGATGTTTGAAAAGATGGGGACAATTTTCAAAAGTTTGGTTGACAAAATGGAGTAACATTTGCATAAAGGAAACTGATGAATGGCAGGGATTAAATGTCATCGTATGGTGAAATATTTAATTAATTGTGTAGTATTAAATAATCCTGTCTGCTTTGTTTAATAAAATATAGTATATTGAGTGGTAAGTAAAATATTGAGTGAGTTATTTGCATATTGTAAAAGTTTCAGTTTTAAATTTTGGTGACGTAAATTAAATGATAATTGGAAATATATTAACTTATTTCCGACATTTATTTTTAAGTACTGCTTACTATTTTAATTGTATTTCAGTTGATCACATTCAATTCTTCCTCAACAGATCTGTCTCAATGTATTCATAACCGATCGAACTGTAGTAGATTAAGATGGTTAGTACTGAGAAGGCATTAATTCCAGAGTGATCAAAAATGAAAAGTAATTCACAATGAATTGACTGGATATAGGTAAAAATTTGAATGAACAATGATCCAGTGAGTAATAAGTAAAAATGATTCTGACTAAGTAATAATTTAAAACACTACACTTTTTCAATACCATTCATTTTAATCTTTGCCTTTCTTTTGTGGAGCGAATGAGAAACGAATTTAACAGTTCAACAATTCAACTAACGAATCAAAAAGGTAAAGAAGTTTTACTTTCAAGCAAGAAGTCGAATGAATTGCACAAATTCATTATTTGACATTGGCTCGCAGCCATCATTTATATTGAAGGAACTGACAAATGAATTAAAGTTAGAGGAAAAAACTAGAAACCAATATAATCGAAAATGGATGAGTTTGGTACAGTTCACTATTCGACTCATTATAAATTCAACAAAATTTTTGTTTACCAACGTGAGTTCGCCTTAAAAGAATGCACCGCGGGTCCATTATTATCTCAGATTTGGAGATTTATTACTTCGAATGATCAAAAATGTGGTAATAGCCAACATTTGAAAAAAGGTTTTTGCAATTAGAATAGCTTCCTCACAACAAAATGTACTTTATTTTTTAGTTGAAAAAATATTAGAGATAAAACTGAACACAATATAGCATGTTGCCGTTTTCAAGGAGTTTCATTCTGATGTTAAATTTAAAGTGCTTCTTAAATTCCCTTCTACTATCATTCTACAATCGATTGCTCTTAACTGTCATCTGGAAAATACTAAATTAAATTACCTCAGGAAGAAATTGTTCTGTGAAAGAAATTACTTTAGGTTGACAATGTTAAACAATCAACTAAAGAAATTCAAGAAGCACTCGAGAATTATGAAGAAATGAAGTCTATCATTAAAGGAGCTTTAGTGAATGTAATAAAATTCCCTTCAATTCAACAAAAATATTTCCGAACACATAGAGAGCACTGTTAAATTTAAGAAAATTGTTAGTGTTAACTGCAACTCCAATAAAGATTTCTTTCAAATCACTTTACTGGTTAAATGCAAATGCGAGTAAACACCTGAATGCAAGGTGCGGTATGTTCGCATGCAGCTTAAATTTTTTCGTAAATTATATCGAATAGTCAGCAAATAAAGGCTAATACGACTTGCTTAATCGCGACGAGATCTAAATATCAGAAATTTAATGAATCAGTCACCAGTGATTTATTAATATTAATGGATTATCACTTCATAATTCTGTAGCATTATGTAAGCACAGGACTGAAGTTTTTTTAAATGGACAAATCACTAAGTAAAAGTCATTTCCGAAGTAAAAATAATTCGAAATGAACGAATAATATTAATAAATTGTCATTCTGTAACTTTATACATGTCGCATTTCCCTTTTATCTTACGATCGAACAATCTTAGACTGACAACTAAGCAACTAAAGGTTTTGGCATTATTATCGTTCACAATAAACATTATTATCGTTCACAATAAACATTATTATCGTTCACAATAAACATTATTATCGTTCACAATAAACATTATTATCGTTCACAATAAACATTATTATCGTTCACAATAAACATTATTATCGTTCACAATAAAACATTATTATCGTTCACAATAAACATTATTATCGTTCACAATAAACATTATTATCGTTCACAATAAACATTATTATCGTTCACAATAAACATTATTATCGTTCACAGTTCACAATAAACATTATTATCGTTCACAATAAACATTATTATCGTTCACAATAAACATTATTATCGTTCACAATAACATTATTATCGTTCACAATAAACATTATTATCGTTCACAATAAACATTATTATCGTTCACAATAAACATTATTATCGTTCACAATAAACATTATTATCGTTCACAATAAACATTATTATCGTTCACAATAAACATTATTATCGTTCACAATAAACATTATTATCGTTCACAATAAACATTATTATCGTTCACAATAAACATTATTATCGTTCACAATAAACATTATTATCGTTCACAATAAACATTATTATCGTTCACAATAAACATTATTATCGTTCACAATAAACATTATTATCGTTCACAATAAACATTATTATCGTTCACAATAAACATTATTATCGTTCACAATAAACATTATTATCGTTCAATAAACATTATTATCGTTCACAATAAACATTATTATCGTTCACAATAAACATTATTATCGTTCACAATAAACATTATTATCGTTCAATAAACATTATTATCTCATATAAATGTCGCACAAAATATGAATGTCACATTGTGTTATATAGAAATTATTGCAAAAATCTTTAAAAGTAAGCTGTTTGTTACAGAGATAAAAAGAATTTAAAATTTTGTGAGATTATCTAAAAGCGCAAGCGGAAATGTCCCATCACAGATTGCCATTCTTTCCATCTTTCAATTACTTTTTGTCTTTTTCCTTTTAGCACCTACATTTTACGCTTGCACACTCACTTTCGCCCGTCCTCCTCTTTCTCTCTCTCTTCGTTACCGTTCTCTTTATGAGATAATTGCTCTCTTTGTCTCCCTCAGTTACTTCTACATCCCTTCGGTACCGTTTGTTTCACTTGCTGATGGCTAATGTACATCGAGTGAGAGTATTCCTGTCTACAGTTTCTCTTGTTGTCTGTCCCTACTTTCATCATTGTAACAAGAATAGCTATCGAATTAGACTGACTTCTCTAACATTCTCCTCTAACAGATGAAAACTCAAATTACTTTCTTTGCTTAATCACTATGGTGTTTCCATGCAAATGAATTTAGTTCAATGCAAGTGCAAGTGCAAGTGCTTAGTCAGATGGCACAAAACTGCAGTGTCACATGTCCTCGAGATACGATGGATAAGAGATGTGACATTGTTGTTGGTTGACACTGCAGTGATCCGATGGAAGCAGTGGTCGACTCGGGAATAGACCTGGATTAGTTGGTCTGATCGTGACGATAACTCTTTTTTCTCGTAAAAGGAAAAATCTTCAAATCAAAAACATTCTCAGAATTAATGCTTCATCAAGGAGTGATAATGATATTCTGAATCAAACTGAAATAATACAAAGTCATTTTGAAAATAAAACCTTGAAATCAAAATTCTTTAGGGCTGAGCATTTGACATATATATAACTATAACTAGTTGAGGTGCAAACTAGAGTCATGGGTAGTTGGTTGTATGAGAAAGTTGGTTGGACCTTTTACAGGTTGTCATCCGATGGAGAACGGTCTGTTGTAGAGGAGTATTGAGCCGAGACTGCAGGTTATGTGTGGGAGTTGGCTTGCAGCAGGACACTTTACAAGTGATGAGAGTTGCAGTAATGCATGCAAGATTACTCGCAGACAAAGTTATATAATTATTTAAGAGACAATGTTAAATGAAATAATCAATGCTCTTAGCAATAACCTTTATTCCACAGATCCCCGTCTTACAGATTTATTAAAAAATGTTTCGATATGTTATAAAATCACTTTGATTAATTAGTTAGACTGTCGTAAATTTTGTAATTCATTGCATTGATTACAGAACAGATATTCAGCATTTCTTCTACATTTTCACTAAATGGTACTTACCTTAGTTCCCAACCAAATTTCAGGTTTTTCTTGCAAATGAATTCCTGGCAAAAAGTATTCTGTTCAGTATGATTCTCTCTCTGTAATTATTTTTATCAATCCCATTTCATACTATTCTTCTCAGTACTTTTCCAGCAAAAGCGAAAAAGCACTGAGAGACTTTTGAGCTTTAGTTAGGACTTCTTCCACTGCATTGTATAATTCTATGAAAATTAACGTGATCTTTTAATTTGTGCATAAATATTTTCAATTTGATTATGATAATGACAGTATGCCAGGTTATCAATTGGCTATTTTAAGGTGCACATTGAAGTAGACTACTGCAGACTCTCAGAAAGAAGTATTTATTTTACATTTACAAATATTTTTGGAGATTCTCTGAGATTTGGAATTTACTTTCTAATCAATAGTCATTTAAATATATGCACTATAGTTAGTGAAGAAAAATGAACTTGCGAAAATGAAAGACAGTTTATAATTTATTGACATTCATAAAAATATATTCTAAATTAAGTTAGGTAGACAGACCTTCACAAAGCATGTATTTCTAAACTTATTG